TACTAATACTAGGTAACAGTAAAATGGAACACCTTATTTACCTACCTGAAAAATGTCAATACATTTAAACTACGTAGGGTCAAATGGGCAGAACTACATTGTACATGTTACAGGTCAAAATTATAATGATTCAGGTTAAATTTTTTTAATCTGTAGGTTGATTCTCAATTTCCCTTGTCTCCTAGCTTTAACTCATGAATAATCAGGTCTAGTAGACAAAGAAAATTGAAAATCAATGTGGGTTAAAAATTTTTAACCTGAATTGAATTTCAGACCTGTAACATGTACAATAATAGATTTGCCCATTTCCCTCAAGCTGGCTATCTATCGATATCTAACTCAAAAACGAACCCTACAGCTCCAAAAGTGTTTTGGAGTTTCACTTTTCAAAAGCATGAGAAAGCAGTCGCCAACTTGTGAGAGTGTGATATAGGTCATGAAATCATGAGACTCATGACAAAGTCTTGAAACTTGGCAAGTCTGAACCTTATCTTTAAATTTTACCTCTGTTACATTCAACAGCTCATTCTGATTATCGCTTAGTGCATGAAACTTGTCGAGCAACTTATATCTTCTATCTTAATATATCTTTAGATTTATAAATTTTGTTTGAGCTTGTTTGTTCACTTGACTTAGGGTTTCCAACATCATGGAAGGAAATAGCATTGATGATGATGATGATGGATTTGACACAGAAGAGTTTGATTCTTCAGATAACAATGATGAAACTCCTCCTAAACCCCACAGCCAGACAGAATATTTACCAAAAACACAAGCTGAGGTATGAGTATTATATTTTAATTTTAATTTAGTGCAAATCCATGATGATGGCGAGCAAAATACTATTAAGCTATCACAGGTGGAGGAAGGAAGGAATTTTAATGCCAGCAATCATCTATAGAATCTCATGAAACTGCATGAGCCTTAGTCAAATGAGAGGCATTTCCAGGGGAGGGAGGGGGGTCCTATGTCGCCTGTCTGAAAAACATCTTGCTGGTTTTGTCACTGTTTTGTTGCTGTCACTGTTGCAATTTGGCCGAGGGAAGTTGTCTCTTGTTATATTTCATTTTACTCGCTGTTGCTACTTTTTGGGCCATGTCGCCTTGTCGGAATTTACCCTGGCAGGGCCTCAAATGAGGAAAAAGGGCCTTCACAAGAACAGAAAAAATCTCTGTCCATAGTAAGAATACATGCCCAAGGGGATACTGTGTACTGTGCTTGCCATATGTGGGTGATATAGGGTTGTGCTGCAAGCAGTGAAGGGTGTGGTTTGCAAGGAGTTTACAAAAAATAATATGTAGTGTGGGATGGGTTATAGAAATGACAGAGTTTGGGTCAAGAATAGGGAATAATTTTCCAGGAAACTGGTCAATTGGTTGAAGATTTTAGTTTAGACTAGGAAAATTGTAATGTACCCGTAACTCAGTTTAACAGCAAAAAAAGCAGTTTCTGGAAAAAAGCTATTATAGGATGGGGTGGGATTTTGGAGGTTTAGTCTAGTATAGGATAGCAAATATGAAATAAACTAGGGAAGTGGTTCTGGGGTCCCCACCAAAAAATTTCTTTAAATGTCACCCCTGGGATTACAAGAGCCACATTCCTCTTCCAACTGAGATATAAGTATGGAGTAGGATGGCCAGGTGGCACTTTTAACCCTTTAAGCCCTAAGAGTGATCAGCATCAAATTTCTCCTTGTAATATCAGTGCTCTGTAAAACAGAGTGGTCATGAGAATTACGGACATGATCACACAATACAAATTTTCTTGATACTTTATCAACTTCTCCCCACTACTTCTGTAGGAAATGAATAGGAGCAACAAATGAGAATTCAAATTTTGATCTCACGGTTTAAAGGGTTAAACTATTAATATTAAAATATGATTACTCTTTGGTACCCGTAACTGAAAAAGTTGACTTGTGGGACAGAAGAGGCACTGTTTGAGCCAGAAGAAATATATCAGCTCATAAAGCTTTATTTTACTACTGTTTACAGCATAATCATCAAGATTTGCCAACTAAAGGTTTAAGGTACTATGCTATTGCAAGCTACTCAGCTGTGGAAAACACAGAAGTATCCTTCCAGGAAGGTGACAGCCTAGAACTCTTGCGAGTTGGACAAGAAGGATGGTGGTTTGCACGGCACATAGAAAATGCAAAAGAAGGCTGGGTTCCTGCCAGTTATCTGGAGCTACCGTCTCCTTGATGGTCTGGTTTTCCTTCTTGGAAGTTTCTGATCTAGATTGAACTCAGGGGCGGATCTAGGGGGAGGGTGCAGGGGGTGCACACCCCCCCCCCCCGAGATGGTTTTCTAATACAACTGGTATTCTCCATACTTTCAAGTAAAAAATGGAGAAAACAAGAACCAAAAGAAATCCCTAGCTGTTTGATTCTCCACCTAATTATTGTATTTACCCTGTGACTTGAAATCATAGTGACAGCCCTGTTATTTATTTATTTATTTATTTCCTAGCCTTTATCATCAGAAGTCAAGAACCGATGGGTGAAGGAAATAAGGAATCTCATGTGGTCACAATTTGATCAAGTGAAAGGTACGTACTGAGACTAAGTCACAAATATGTCAAACCTGAATTTTTCAGGTTCTCTTTCAACCACTTAAGGTTGTTTTTTTCAACTGCGAGGATCATTTTCACTGTTATTTCTTTATCCACAGTTCAAAAATATGAGTCATTTCATATCCACAATCAGATATAACTACGAACTTACAATGGCCTGCTCTCCAGTTGGCTTTAGTAGCTTAATGGATAGGGCATTGCATCCGGTCAGTCGCAAAGGTCGGGGTTTGATTCCCAGTCAAGGTTGCGTACTCAACTGCAACGATTTTTCCCACTCTAACTTCATTCTTTTAATCCCATATACAAACAAGCATACTGGGCTCTGCTCTCCATTCATTTCTTGGTTTGGAAGTGTTGGTCTGTATAGATGCCTTGTTGTGTTAATATCCAACAATTTTTTCATATTTGCAGAAGCTGTGACAGAACAATCTGGACTGCAATGTAAGAGTTCCTCATTTCTTGTTGCGAGGGTGAAAATTAATATTAATAAACTCAACAGACGACACAAAGCAAAAACTATTGGTGTAGAGGGAGGTTTCTGAGATGGAAGTTGAGGTGTCAAGTTTCATTTTAGCATTTGATGTATTGATGGTACTTTCAGAAGCAACCATTAAAAAAAGAACATAATGGTCAGATAAAACTGTAAATAGTATCCAAGTAAACAGTGAGGTGCAGGAGTGTACTGTTTGAGTTTCTTAGCCTGGGTCTGTACAATTATTGTTTTTCTCTACATTATTTTTTATGTCCGGTCAGGTGTAAAATGTTCACCAGTAACTTAGTACTGAGTCCGGGTCGGGGGCGGGGTGGGGTGGTTGGATTGCACACAAGAGTAGGGGCCAATAAGTCACTGTTTGTTTAATTCAAAGCGTTGAATTACAGACTCAGGGATAGACCTGACCTGGGCTTAATTCCTGGTTGGACCGACACTCGGGGTCTAAACTATAAGTGAGGAAAACAATTAAGCTTTCTCTGTTGCTTTGGTTTGTTGCGGTGGCTAGCTCGAAAGCTACGCTCCTCTGATCACCCTACACTTCTATCCAAGCCATTAATTTTCTTTTTTCCTTCTTTATCTTCTTCTTCTTCTTCTTCTTTATTAGTGTATTCTTACCTTACTATATTTAACGTAAATATTTTATAAAAGTGGGGAAAAAATTGTATTGAATTGTTGACTGTGCACAAAAATTTATGATTTATTGCTAAGACAGCTGCTATACAAATAAGATACCAGTTCTATGGTCATTTCTTTGGTTAGGGTTTTCATCTTGTTAGGACTGCTTGGGAATGCCTAGCTTGACTACTCATCAAAACAGTTATGGTATCCTTATGAGACATTCTTTGTCTTGTTGTTTACCATGATTTTAGATCCCAGCCGATGGAAGTCAACAACATCTTTGGCATCACCAGGTGTTCCTGCAGAAAATGAACTGCGTGCGAGAAGTCAGTCTACATATTCACTATCTGGAACTGTCACTGGTGCCAATACTAATACTAGGTAACTGTAAAATGGAACACCTTGTTTACCTATTTGCCCCTGGACCTTACCTGAAAAATGTCAATCCATTTAAACTACGTAGGGTCAAATGGGCAAAACTATATTGTACATGTTACAGGTCAAAATATTATTATATTCAGGTTAAATTTTTTTAATCTATAGGTTGATTCTCAATTTCCTTTGTCTCCTAGCTTTAACTCATGAATAATCAGGTCTAGTAGACAAAGAAAATTGAAAATCAATGTAAGTTAAAAATTTTTAACCTGAAGTCAATTTTGACTTGTAACATGTACAATATAGATTTGCCCACTTCCCTTAAACTAGCCATCTATCGATATCTAACTCGGAAACGAACCCTACAGCTCCAAAAGTGTTTTGGAGTTTCACTTTTCGAAAGCATCAGAAATCAGTCACCAGCTGGTGAGAGCGTGATATAGGTCAAGAAATCATGAGACTTATGACAAAGTCTTGAAACTTGGCAAGTCTGTACCTCATCTTTAAATTTTGCATCTGTTACATTCAATAGCTCATTCTGATTATAGCTTAGTGCATGAAACTTGTCGAACAACTCATGTCTTGTATCTTAATATATCTTTAGATTTATAAATTTTGTTTGAGGTTGTTTGTTCACTTGACTTAGGGTTTCCAACATCATGGAAGGAAATAGCATTGATGATGATGATGATGGATTTGACACTGAAGAGTTTGATTCTTCAGATAACAATGATGAAACTCCTCCTAAACCCCACAGCCAGACAGAATATTCACCAAAAACACAAGCTGAGGTACAAGTATTATATTTTAGTTTTAATTTAGTACAAATCCATGGTGATGGCGAGCAAAATACTATTAAGCCATCACAGGTGGAGGAAGGAAGGAATTTTAATGCCAGTCATCTATAGAATCTCAAGAAACTGCGAGAGCCTTAGTCCAGCCTGTGTTCGACTACTGCGACATTGTTTGGGACAATTTAGACCAGGGACTTGCCACTAGGATCCAGAAATTACAAAATCGTGCTGCACGCATAATAACCTTTCAAGGTTATGACGTTCGTTCAGCACAAATACGAAGACAACTAAACTGGGGAGAGCTTGCCTCAAGGCGTCAAAGGCACTTAAGTCTATTAATGTATGATACAGTGAATGGAAATGTACCTAGTTACTTAAGCGATCTTTTCTCGAATGTCTGTGAGAACAACCCTTATAAGTCTATGCCTAGAAATACGGGATATAATGTTGTACTGGACCACGTTCCAAAAACAGAATATTATAAAGGGTCTTTCTCATACAGAGGAGGAATGCTACATGGAATTCATTACTAAATGACATAAAAGCGTCCGAATCTAAAGCTATCTTTAAAAGAAAACTGGCTAGTAGGCAGGCAAACTGTTGACTACATTTTACTATATTTTATTATTTGTACATATTTTTAGTGTAGTTGTACAGTATTTACTTCTGTTTCTATACGGCTTTCATGTAAAGAAGTTATGTAACTTATGAAATTACCGTATTCAAATAAAAGTGAATCAATCAATCAAATGAGGAAATGGGCCTTCACAAGAAAAGAGAAAAAGCTCTGTCCATAGTAAGAATACAAACCCAAGGGGGTACTGTGCTTGCCATATGTGGATGATATAGGGTTGTGCTGCGGGCAGTGAAGGGTGTGGTTTGCAAGGAGTTTACGCAAAATAATATGTAGTGTGGGATGGGTTATAGAAGTCAGGGAGTTTGGGTCAAGAATAGGGAATAATTTTCCAGGAAACTGGTCAATTGGTGGAAGATTTTAGTTTAGACTAGGAAAATTGTAATGTACCCGTAACTCAGTTTAACAGCAAAAAAAGCAGTTTCTGGAAAAAAAGCGATTATAGGATAGATAAATGCCAACCCCGGGAATACAAGAGCCACATTCCTCTTCCAACTGAGATATAAGTATGGAGATGGATTAAAGCCAGGTGGCACTTTTAAACTATTCATATAAAATGATTACTTTTTGGTAACCAAAAAAGGTGACTTGTGGGACAGACAAGACACTGCTTGAGCCAGAAGAAATTTATCAGCTCATTAAGCCTTATTTTACTACTTTTTACAGCATAATCATCAAGATTTGCCAACAAAGGGTTCAAGGTACTCTGCTATTGCGGGCTACACAGCTGTGGAAAACACAGAAGTATCCTTCCAGGAAGGTGACAGCCTAGAACTCCTGCGAGTTGGACAAGAAGGATGGTGGTTTGCACGGCACATAGAAAATGCAAAAGAAGGCTGGGTTCCTGCCAGTTATTTGGAACTACAGTCTCCTTGATGGTCTGGTTTTCCTTCTTGGAAGTTTCTGACCTAGATTGAACTACGCTATTAAAATTGATAGTGGTGGTTGATAAATTCTGAAAATACTCATCAAAGGTACAAAAATCTGGTTTTACAGATGACTTCAATTCATTTTCAAGAGGTACCAAAATATTATTGAACACCAAATTAACTGGTACAAATACTTGTCATTTTTTTGGCTCAATTATACCTTAAAAGGTATTGGAACAACTCTAAAAGCAGTTACTTTAGGTTTTAGCACTGTCAACAGCACTAATGTACAAATCTTACCCAATAGTATCATTTCATGTACAATGTATAGTTTAGGGTAGTCAGTAGTGGCAAAGAATAGTGTTGAATATTTAATTTTTACCACTGAATGGCTGATAAGCAGTGTAAAGAATTAGGGTTGGTTATTGAAACAAAGTCTAACTTAGATCTCTCCAGATCTCTTCGTCAGTGGGTTAGTTTACAAAGATAAATGCTTTTCTAGTCTTTGCTATATGTGCTATCAAGAAAATGTTCACGATAAATGAGTTATGTTATTAACCCATTCGCTCCTGGAGATTTTGCCGAAAAACGCGTTTTGAAGCTAGTCGAGTGGTTTTCTGGTCACTGTCGTGCTATAAAGGGCTAAAACTTACCACAAACCGGTTTACAGGTCGTACACTTCGCGGCCTTCTGATCCAGATGCAAAATATTAGCTTGGGAAGTTCGGGCATGCGCAGAAAGCAAAATTTCGAGACTTGACTTTTACTTTTCGCTTTCTCTCCTCCCTTCTTTTTTTGCTTTTCTTGCCTCATTTTTTTTTTCTCTTGCTGGGCATTTAGTAGGCTTCAATTTGGTGGGAAGAGTTTTTAGGAAAGCTTTTAGGATCTTAGGATTAGGTGAAAGGAAAGGTAGGTGGGTAATGGAACAAGATTTTCATGGAGATTTTCAGGTCAATGTCTCGTGGTTTTTTGCTTCTTTCTCCGGTGTCCTTGACTGAATTGTGCTCATTCTGGTATGGTTTGAAAGATCTCTTCACTCTGAACAAGTTAGCGAAGAAAATTGTCCTGGACCGTTAAAACTGATGACGTCACAAAGGGTAGAAAGGACCTGGATCCGCACGGGCAGTTCAGGGGCGAATGGGTTAAGATAAAAGCATTTGGTAAAGTGAAAATGGCTTAGAATGCAGTTTTGTTGAACACTGGCTAAACTCTGTTTGAATAACTGACCCTTTATGTTTAGAATAATTATGAATAAGAATGTATCAATGTCCATTGATTGTTTTGCTTGTACATAGATCTGTTTGCTTGTCAAGCTGATTCCAAACATATCATAAAAAATAATGTGTAGTGATAAGTAAAATTCTAAGGATATCCTCACTGTTTCCAAGGTTGGAATTTATTAGTCAGGTTTGTGACACAGCTATGACTAGAATACTGAAAGAAAAAAAGATGCCAGAAAACCAGCAACAAAATTTAAAGCATTTAAGTCGGAGTCATTTAACAGTTCATTGAAAACTTCAGACCACATTAGTTAGTCAAATTATTCATTTTTATGGCCAAACGTTGCTTATAAACAGACTGCATTATACCTTGTAAAAAATAGATATTAATACTCCTAAATACTTTAACTTTTCATTGAGTTTTTTTAACAACACATTGTTCAATCTGCACGCAGACCTTTCTCATTTCCCTGAGATGGTTAATTTATAGTAACGCATACTTTATTTTTTGAAAGAGAATTTTTTTTAGAACAAATATAACAACAACAAGCTTTCGCCCACCCAAAATATGCCTGCACTGCAGGCTAGGTAAAAGGGATATCTTCTTCCACACAGTGGGAAGCAGGTACCCCTCCTGGTCTCTTAACCGTTTAAGTGCCAAAGGTGACAAACACCAATTTTCTCCTAACGATATCCATCATTTGTCAAAAGACTAGGTTCTGAAAACGAATAAAATGGTCAACAAAAAAAATGCNCTTGTCAAGCTGATTCCAAACATATCATAAAAAATAATGTGTAGTGATAAGTAAAATTCTAAGGATATCCTCACTGTTTCCAAGGTTGGAATTTATTAGTCAGGTTTGTGACACAGCTATGACTAGAATACTGAAAGAAAAAAAGATGCCAGAAAACCAGCAACAAAATTTAAAGCATTTAAGTCGGAGTCATTTAACAGTTCATTGAAAACTTCAGACCACATTAGTTAGTCAAATTATTCATTTTTATGGCCAAACGTTGCTTATAAACAGACTGCATTATACCTTGTAAAAAATAGATATTAATACTCCTAAATACTTTAACTTTTCATTGAGTTTTTTTAACAACACATTGTTCAATCTGCACGCAGACCTTTCTCATTTCCCTGAGATGGTTAATTTATAGTAACGCATACTTTATTTTTTGAAAGAGAATTTTTTTTAGAACAAATATAACAACAACAAGCTTTCGCCCACCCAAAATATGCCTGCACTGCAGGCTAGGTAAAAGGGATATCTTCTTCCACACAGTGGGAAGCAGGTACCCCTCCTGGTCTCTTAACCGTTTAAGTGCCAAAGGTGACAAACACCAATTTTCTCCTAACGATATCCATCATTTGTCAAAAGACTAGGTTCTGAAAACGAATAAAATGGTCAACAAAAAAAATGCCTTGATCTTTTATCAAATTCTCTCAACACATTCTTTATGGAAATGTATAGAGATCAGTTTGGAAAATTTGTACGTGGACATTAGGACTTAGAGGGTTAAATGGGCGGAGTTATCACCTGGGTGAGCCCATTGGTGTTGAAAAAAGGCACTCGAGTGACTGGACAGTCAGATAAAATCAGGCTAGGGTAATTTGTAACAAATAATAATGTTTGAGACTAATATTTATTGGGAGAAAAGTAGGAATGCTCTTCAAGTAAAACTTGAGTTAACAGATAAATGTACATGGGCAGTGTAAAGTTATTGTAAGTAATTACCTATAGGACAAAAAACGTTATCAAATTGTGTATGTAAGTAGGTCGAAATTGTATTTAATGGTAAAAAGGAAAGTAAAAGTAGTAGTTTATATTTTCTTTCTCTGTTTATTTTCTTTTGTTTCTGTGTCCCAGTGTCAGTTGTCCACTTAGTATAAAATTTTGGCCAAAAAGTTTCTTGACCATACAGCCTCAAGAGAGCCAAGACTCAGTACATATCCTTGCCTAGTCCCTCGTTTCCTTGGGCTTGTTAATACGGAAAGTAGCCTGAGAAAACAGTCGACATTTGGCAATGCTACTACTGGTTTCCCTGCAAAATGACGTCTGAGAAATGAGCGCAGAAATTCCATACTGATGACACGTCACTACCTAGATTTGGGTAGCGCTTCTGATTGGCTGAATCAAATTTTCCAAGTGGCACGGCCATGGAATTTCTGCGCTCGTTTCTCGGATGTAATTTGGCGGGGAAACCAGTGGTAGTGTCGCCAAATGTTGGCTGTTTTCTCAGGCTATACAGAAAGTAACCTAAGATCAGGCTATTTTCATTTCACTTCGTAATAAAATTCCTGCAGGAAAGGCAAAACGAAAACCGAGCCTTGGTCTATAACACGAAGAAACTTGAGTTGATGTCTCTCCTCTGCTCACTAACATTTAACTTTTACATCCATGTATTGAGATGTTTTCTAGTTGAAGAAATAATTGTTTTGTTCCACTATGTCGAGCAGGTGACACTGCGCTTGTTCTCTAGATCACCTCTTGGATGTCTTACTGACAATGACTTGATTGTGATGAATGCAGTTGGACCATCTTGACACAGAACATACATGTGTAAGTTGATGTGTCTCTTTCATTCAGAGCACCAGAAGCAATCAGTGCCAAAATCAAAAGCCTATGATCTGGTCAATTGGTTTATACATCCATTCATCCTGGTTAATCTGAGTCAGTTGCTGCCTTAACTTTGTGAGTGTCTGCTCGTGAATCTCTGAAAGAAAAAGTTAAATCAGCTGAGCATGAGGTTTTATATAGGCTTGGAGAAATTTGGCCAGCAGAATTTTAAGCAGAGTGAGGCATTTTTGAGCACAATTTCAGCAGCAAATCAGCAACATGAATCTACATAGATCTACATATACATGTACATTTTATTACATCAGTAAAGTTGATTAGACATCACACCAACTTAATGATACTGGAATGCCTCATAGTTGCAAGAAAAATAATTGTTGAAAACGTAATACAATAAGATATAAGATCATCATAAAAAATTTGTCATTTTGACTAAATTTATGACTGATGTTGTACAACGTAAAATTAATAATTAATTTTAATTGCAATAATGGAGTGGGCTCTGTGAATGAATGCCATTATTTCCTTCATTTTCAAAGCGCTAAACATACAAAATTGAGGTGGAAATGTTTACAACAGCGTTCTGAAGGAAAGGAGAGAGCAAATTCCATGAAAAAAACTTTGCAGCACTTTCTGAAATTTCTAATCCCATTTCTAATCCAAATTTAAGTAAGACATGGTAAGTCAGCCTGATGCAAATTAATGCTGTGACATTTTAACAACAGGCATTCTGTTCCCTTTTTTCTTTTCTTTTTTCTTTGGCGACTGCCATGCAGACCACAGACAGTACGGAAATTGACTGATGCATTACCTTTCTTAAGGCCTTTCAAGTTGGAATCCACTTCAATATCTACTTGAATTCTATTAAGCAATGCTTCCAAAGCCTCTGCAAGAAAGTCATTATCAGGGTTGTTATTGAGGGACAGGTCTGGCGAACAAATGTGAACCTGGCCACTTTTTATTGGGCTTCCTTCGGCAGAGCCAATTGAAAAATGAGCGCCATTTCCTGTGCAGCAAAAAGGCAATAGAAAACGGATCAAATTACCCTTCCCGTCTCACCTCCCCTGCGTCGAGGACTGAGGAAAAGAAATTTTCCTGAACACCAAACAGGTACAGTCGAAACCTCTCTAATACGGACACCGAAGAAACAGACAAATTACTGTTTTAAAACGAAATAACGTACAGCGCAATGCTGTGTGTATAAAGTTCTAACGTAAAGCACAATATGAAAGCGTCTTTTGCTATTTTGCAAGTACAGTAAACAGTACAGTCTAATCTCTCCTTACGGACACCTCTATAATACGAACATCTCTCTATTAAGGACAGTTCGTTTGGTCCCAGAAATGCCAAAAATCATACATTCCCTACCTCTATAATATGGACACCTCTGTAAAGAGGACAATATTGGTTCTGTCCCTTTGGTGTCTGTATTAAAGAGGTTTGACTGAAACTACAGTACAAAATGTAATAGAAAAGATCTTTATGCTACTGTAGTTATTGAAGCCTTCAAGAAGTCGGTTATGTTCCTCTGTACACCTTTCGAAAATCGTTGTTCGGTGTACAGTGACTGAGCTTTATATCCCCTTACATAGCTCACCAGCCAGACTAGACGGGATTCACCCTGTGCAGATTCAACTCTCCGGCATCAGGATTTGGAATAGCGCCTTCTCCTAATGACGTCACAAATGTCTGGTCCCTGCTGTGACTCAGACATTAAACCTGACCAGTGTAAGAGTTAAGTAAGGGAAAGTCACGTTCGGCAACAAATTGTCGTCGTCTTTGAAGATGTTTATCGTTAAAGAAAACAAAATCCGGCTTGGTTTCGATAATAAATATCCTGAAAATAATCAACTCGTGCAAAGACAGCGTTAAACATGGAAAAACCTGTACAGATGAGTAGTTTTATTTCTTATGCGGCGTCCTAATGCTGTGGGTAAAATTATGTGAAAATGTGTGGAGAACAGGGCTTCATAGCCGTGCTTGAAACGGTGCATTTGGCTAAATTTATAGGCAAAGGTTGCTCAATTTGTTTTTCGAGTGCTTATTGTTACGCTACTTAGTACTACAGGATATAAAGTACTAAAGTATTTGTCGCAGATTCATATGGTCTACCTGGCCGCACAACAACAGAACAAACTTATACAATTTCTGGTCTGTGCTAATATTGGTGTGCTTTTCACCTTAGATATTCTGTCACAGGCTTGCCAGAAGCACATCCGAACTCGATTTTCTCTTTGGCAATTTCGGTTTTAGAGTATTACACAGCCAATAATGTTATGTCATGTTTCAGTGCATAGCGGTACTTTCTGCCTAAGACAGAGAGCCAGGGATCCGATTTCAGTAGCCTTCTTTGATCGAGTGGCTTTATTTTCTGATTTTAACCATTTATTTGAGTTACTGGACCAGGTTTTGCTCCCAATAGCAGTAGTACCTTTTATATATTGGAATTATGCTCAAGAAAACATTTTAAAAACGCTCACTGCGAATTTTATGAACAATTTTCATGTCGGAAACGTATGCTTCCCATACAAAGCCTTGGAGTAGAATGCAAAGTTTGTCTGAGTCACGCGGGGGGTCTAAGGTGACAAAACCTATTTTTAGTAATAGTATAAAGCGCTATTCACCTGATCAACGCAGTGTCCGTAATAAAGGGTGTAATAAAGAGGTTACGTTTATATAAATTTTTTCTCTGGGGCCCAGATTTAGTGTTCGTTATCCGTATTAGAGGAAGTCCGTATTATAGAGGGTTTTTTAAAGAAAATATGTGAGAATTTTCTCGGGACATTGGAAACTGTCCGTAATAGAGAGGTGTCCGCACCGAGAGGTTCGACTGTAATTTAACTCACGACAAAAATAATTTGGGAATTTCTTAATCACCACCACTGCAAACTCCTAGAAAATATCTGGAAATAAGCTTATGAGCATCATTGACGAGACGCTTTCAACATAGCCTGCTAAAACAGCCGTTTCTCCTCGCTCCTCGCCACTGAGTTTTGAACTTAGAAAATTTGCCAATTAAGCTATATTATGACATTTTAGATACAAAGGGACGGAGAAATTAATAACCTGGAGCCTTGCTACTATCCTCTTGATCTGGGGACTGAAACAATGCTTTCCTGGGCTCTCTGCACTGTGTTTTTGTTCCTCCACCAGAACTAACACCCGCCATTTTGATTCAATTTGAAATTCTGAGTATGCCCACTACGGTTACCCGCTGGTCTTTTGTGGGCTCGTGAGTGAAAAGCGCTCGTTTCTACTTTGCCGTAGTTATGTCTTTAGATCCCTAAAAGACTGACGAGATTGTTAGTTGTTTTTAAAATCACGTAGTCACTGAGATGAATAAGTTAATTATATCTAATATGATTGAAAAGGAATGACGATTCATGGGGTCCATAACGCAATTTGCTCTCGGTGCTGCTGCGGGTGTTGCTCTTTTCATGGGCGCGAACTCGGCTCGGCGCTATTTTCTTGGCTCTCCGACAGATGCATTACCTTTCTTAAGGCCTTTCAAGTTGGAATCCACTTCAATATCTACTTGAATTCTATTAAGCAATGCTTCCAAAGCCTCTGCAAGAAAGTCATTATCAGGGTTGTTATTGAGGGACAGGTCTGGCGAACAAATGTGAACCTGGCCACTTTTTATTGGGCTTCCTTCGGCAGAGCCAATTGAAAAATGAGCGCCATTTCCTGTGCAGCAAAAAGGCAATAGAAAACGGATCAAATTACCCTTCCCGTCTCACCTCCCCTGCGTCGAGGACTGAGGAAAAGAAATTTTCCTGAACACCAAACAGGTACAGTCGAAACCTCTCTAATACGGACACCGAAGAAACAGACAAATTACTGTTTTAAAACGAAATAACGTACAGCGCAATGCTGTGTGTATAAAGTTCTAACGTAAAGCACAATATGAAAGCGTCTTTTGCTATTTTGCAAGTACAGTAAACAGTACAGTCTAATCTCTCCTTACGGACACCTCTATAATACGAACATCTCTCTATTAAGGACAGTTCGTTTGGTCCCAGAAATGCCAAAAATCATACATTCCCTACCTCTATAATATGGACACCTCTGTAAAGAGGACAATATTGGTTCTGTCCCTTTGGTGTCTGTATTAAAGAGGTTTGACTGAAACTACAGTACAAAATGTAATAGAAAAGATCTTTATGCTACTGTAGTTATTGAAGCCTTCAAGAAGTCGGTTATGTTCCTCTGTACACCTTTCGAAAATCGTTGTTCGGTGTACAGTGACTGAGCTTTATATCCCCTTACATAGCTCACCAGCCAGACTAGACGGGATTCACCCTGTGCAGATTCAACTCTCCGGCATCAGGATTTGGAATAGCGCCTTCTCCTAATGACGTCACAAATGTCTGGTCCCTGCTGTGACTCAGACATTAAACCTGACCAGTGTAAGAGTTAAGTAAGGGAAAGTCACGTTCGGCAACAAATTGTCGTCGTCTTTGAAGATGTTTATCGTTAAAGAAAACAAAATCCGGCTTGGTTTCGATAATAAATATCCTGAAAATAATCAACTCGTGCAAAGACAGCGTTAAACATGGAAAAACCTGTACAGATGAGTAGTTTTATTTCTTATGCGGCGTCCTAATGCTGTGGGTAAAATTATGTGAAAATGTGTGGAGAACAGGGCTTCATAGCCGTGCTTGAAACGGTGCATTTGGCTAAATTTATAGGCAAAGGTTGCTCAATTTGTTTTTCGAGTGCTTATTGTTACGCTACTTAGTACTACAGGATATAAAGTACTAAAGTATTTGTCGCAGATTCATATGGTCTACCTGGCCGCACAACAACAGAACAAACTTATACAATTTCTGGTCTGTGCTAATATTGGTGTGCTTTTCACCTTAGATATTCTGTCACAGGCTTGCCAGAAGCACATCCGAACTCGATTTTCTCTTTGGCAATTTCGGTTTTAGAGTATTACACAGCCAATAATGTTATGTCATGTTTCAGTGCATAGCGGTACTTTCTGCCTAAGACAGAGAGCCAGGGATCCGATTTCAGTAGCCTTCTTTGATCGAGTGGCTTTATTTTCTGATTTTAACCATTTATTTGAGTTACTGGACCAGGTTTTGCTCCCAATAGCAGTAGTACCTTTTATATATTGGAATTATGCTCAAGAAAACATTTTAAAAACGCTCACTGCGAATTTTATGAACAATTTTCATGTCGGAAACGTATGCTTCCCATACAAAGCCTTGGAGTAGAATGCAAAGTTTGTCTGAGTCACGCGGGGGGTCTAAGGTGACAAAACCTATTTTTAGTAATAGTATAAAGCGCTATTCACCTGATCAACGCAGTGTCCGTAATAAAGGGTGTAATAAAGAGGTTACGTTTATAT